GTGACACCGAAGACTGGAGTAATGATGCTGAAAATTCAGCATTGCATCACAAAAATGTATTACATTTTAAAATACATTACGATATAAAACATTTATTTTAAACTGTAATAATTTTTCACAATTTTTACTGTAATTTGAATCAAATAAATGCAGCCTTGGTGAGCATAAGAGACAAGGTGACAGAATTTAGATTTGAGGGGGAGGGGGAATAAATCCTATTTTATTTTATTTGGTTATAAAACGCCTGGATCCAGATGTGTCTGTGACTGTAGCTGTATAAACTCACCATTTGATGCGGAATGTTTCAGTATCTCCTCTGCTCTACTCGCCCTTTGGATTCTGTGTGTTGCCCACTGCAAAAACAGCAGGCAAAGCTTAATATACACAGTATGATTCCATTTGTTCCTTACTAGGCTTTAAACTTGCATAATCAATCACAATTAAGACCAAAGGGCACTTATCAATGTGATGACACAGCACATTTCAGTTTGAGAAATATATACCATCTGATTATGCCACAATGTTCATTGGTCAACAAAACTGTTTCATTTCCCCTTGGTGACAGTGTGCAATAGCCTAGTGTCCTGGGAGACTTAGCATGTCAAGTAGTGTTCTGGAGTGTCATGCTGTACGTCTTAACCCTTTTTAAAACATATCATGTCTAAATCATGTGTAATTAATATACATGCAGTTTTTATGAGCTCATATCAACTGAGAGACTACATGAAGTATTTGTGCTTTCACAAATGTATTACTACTACTACAGGTCTACTATTTGCAGCTACAGAGTGACTAAAAACAGCGGGAAGCCAAAGTGAATTGAATGGCTTTGTAACCCATTTTACTTCTGTAATGAAAAAAAAAAAGTAGGGCATGACTTGATTTTATCTTTTAGGAGCTGATAGGAAGACAAGAGTTTTAAAAAGTAGAATGGAGCAAGACAAAATGTGAAATAGCTATTTGTCTATTGGTTACTATTATCCTATAGCACAGCTTAAGTGACATCAGTGGCAAAAAGGAAAGTTGTCTCATTTGTGGAGGAAATTACAGCATTTTGATAAAACTTGATGAAAAAATGTCATGGTCATAATATATCCTTTATTTTTATGCCTGTAAATATGTAAATATTATTATTTATATACTTCATAGTTTGATTAACATTTTATATTTAATATTTTATTTTAGTTAATTTTTTTGTTGTGCTTTTGCCATTTTTATTATTATTATTTTTTTTATATTTCTAAATAGTTACTTTTTTTTCAATGTTAGTTATTTGTAATTTAGTATGTCAACTTACGTATTTCAGTTATTTACTAAGGCAACTGATTTTTATCTCTAATATTAAAGTTTTTCTTATAATATAAATTTTTTATTTCAATGAACAATTTTTACCATCTCACCTACCTCTAAGGTTTTGATAAGGATCTTCATGTAGGTCTCAGTGATGCCAAGCGAGATCCCAAACATGGCAGGCAGCATGATCAGGACCACCAAACTGGTGAACCAGACCCTCAGCACAGGGGAAAACACAGCCCAAAACCCCTCCATAACCACACGGACCAGACCACTTCCACTGCATACACTACACAACTGGGGGAAAATGAAATAAAATGCATATAATAACCTTTAAACAGAAATGTTTATTTATTATAAGACACTTACAATAATAATAAAACTTGACTGGAACAAAAACACATTTGACTTTTGATGATGTGATCCACACCAGCAACTCTTAACCTGTATTTCACTTTAAACCTTCTATCAGTCGAGACTACAACATGGAGTTTAAGCCATGCAGCCATATATGACACAAACAAATCAGCCAAATAAAAACTAGCTTTTGTTTTCTCAGTGAATTAAGCTCGATCTCACCTGGTTTCATGAAATGCCAGCAGCTCTACAGGACAGAAAGCAGAAAATGTTCCTCGCTATCATACTCCTCTGACCCTTAACATGATGGAGACTGGAACTTAAGGTGTTTAAAAGTCCGTTTAAGGAACTTCTGCAGCCTTTACGCAGAGTGATTGGGAAATAGCAATGCTGGAAGACATTCTAGACCTGTAAAATGTAGAACAAAGTTCAACAGCAACAACAGAAAACTGCGCCATCGTGAGGAAAAATTGTGATTTGATCTGTCTCAAGTCTACAATTTTAAGTAACCAAACTTCTGTTTTTCAGAATGCCAGAAATTTACTTTAATTTCTGTTTAAATAATGTTTTCAATCCTAAACTTACAAAGCCTACAAAGTCATAAAACTTCATGCATAATAATTATCCAAGAATTAGACTTGTTTAAACTAGTTTTACTT